CTATCTATCTATCTATCTATCTATCTATCTATCTATCTATCTATCTATCTATCTATCTATCTATCTATCTATCTATCTATCTATCTATCTATCTATCTAGCTATCTATCTATCTATCTTCTATATTCTATCTATCTATCTACTCTATCTATCTATCTATTATCTATCTTTGAATAAAGCAATTAAAATAGAGAAATATAGCACTTTGTCTACAATGCAAAAAAAGTTGCTTAGGTTTCGAACAATACTGTATATATATCTACCCTATCTAGCGTATTGAGAATTTATAACTTTTTTAAATAATTGTATTTAAAATAATTTTTCGTTTAAATTAAAAAAAATTGATCAAATTTTATGCAATTTTGTACCACTAATCTCAAGTTGGTATCACATTACTTTAAATTATTTTAATAAAGACCACCCTAATGTATTTGTAAAAATACTGATAATAACTATTAAAAATAGTATTATACCTTTTCATTACGGTCAGTGTGGTGGCCACAATATCACAATTTATATTATCATCAATGGGTTTTATACGTTTTTCAATTTCCGATAAAAGCATAGGTTCCGTTCGTATGCAAAATTTCGTATTTTCTTCAATGTTGGACACGCCACGAAAGACAACACAATATAATCGAAATAGTAAATAAAGAATATTTCAACATTTCGTTTTATTTATATTGTTAAACGTTATCCGTTTAAATATTTTAGATAAATAATAGTTCGCGTAAATCCGTTAAATTTGTTAGTAACGTGCGTTAAGTTCAAATGATAGTCAGCAACTGAATTGATTTATTTTTATAATAAAATTGATTTAATTAATAGCCAATGAACTTACATATATGAGGTGTTGGAATTAGATTATAACAAAAAAAAAAAGCAAATAATAAACAAAATCTAACTAAATTTAATTTATTTTGCAAACAATTATTTAAAAACAACCAAAAGCTTTCTGATATCGTGAAACGTTTTCCATTCATTGTTTTATTTATTTTTTGGCAATATTTTATTGAAACATGTTTGCGACTTTAGCAACAAAAAAAAAAAACATTTAAAAAATAAAGTATTCAAATATTCTTGAAATTGCATTTTATATAAAGTCGTTAACATACTAATATTAGGGGGCTACTTTGTTTTCCTTAATATAGCATAATATTCATAAGATTCAAGTTTTTAGAAACCTCAATTGAGCAAGTGTTAGCACACTTCTAGGACTTCTTCATCTTTCACGATCTCGAATTTGTCCTAACACATTTGAGGCCACCCTAATTTGTTTGTGAATATTTATTTTCGCTATGGAAATTACAGCTTTCTTGCAAACATACTCTGTGAGAGTTAATACTTCATACACATTTTGCTATACGAATAAATCGAGAAACAAATATTGTTTTTTAGTTTCTTGCGGTTATTTACATATGTATATGATTTTTGTTTAAATTTTTAAACCAATTGCCCTTATTGTTGCTTATAATTACATACTTAAATATTAATCCAAATATATTTGCATTAATGCAGATAAGATATAAATTAATCACACGGTTTGACAAAATTACAAAAAGCAAATATGCTTTCCACTTAACCTAGTGTAGTTTGTAGGTAGACTAGACTATACACCAGACTATAGACTTGACTATAGACTAGATTATAGACTAGACTATAGACTAGACTATAGACTAGACTATAGACTAGACTACAGACTAGACTATAGACTAGGACTATAGACTTGACTATAGACTGACTATAGACTTGACTATAGACTAGACTATATACTAGCCTATAGACTAGACTATAGACTAGCCTATAGACTAGCCTATAGACTAGCCTATAGACTAGACTATAGACCTAGACTATAGATTAGACTATAGACTAGACTATAGACTAGTCTATAGGCTAGACTATAGACTAGACTATGATTAGACTACAGACAAGACTATAGACAAGACTATCGACTAGACTATAGACTAGACTATAGATTAGACTATAGACTAGGACTACTAGACTAGACTACCCTATAGACTAGACTATACACTAGACTATAGACTAGACTACAGACTAGACTATAGACTAGACTATAGACTAGACTATAGACTAGACTATAGACTAGACTATAGACTAGACTATAGACTAGACTATAGACTAGACTATAGACTAGACTATAGACTAGACTATAGACTAGACTATAGACCAGACTATAGACTAGACTATAGACTAGACTATAGACTAGACTATAGACTAGACTATTGACTAGACTATAGACTAGACTATAGACTAGACTATAGACTAGACCATAGACTAGACTATATACTAGACCATAGACTAGACTATAGACTAGACTATAGACTAGACTATAGACTAGACTATAGACTAGACTATAGACTAGACTATAGACTAGACTATAGACTAGACTATAGACTAGACTATAGACTAGACTATAGACTAGACTATAGACTAGACTATAGACTAGACTATAGACTAGACTATAGACTAGACTATAGACTAGACTAGACTAGACTATAGACTAGACTATAGACTAGCCTATATTACTAGATTATAGACTAGACTATATACTAGACTATAGACTAGACTATATACTAGACTATAACTAGACTATAGACTGGACTAAGACTGGACTATAGACTGGACTATAGACTGGACTATAGACTGGACTGTAGACTGGACTATGGACTAGACTATAGACTAGACTATAGACTAGACTATAGACTATACTATAGACTAGACTATAGACTAGGCTATAGACTAGGCTATGACTAGACTATAGACTAGACTATAGACTAGACTATATACTAGACTATAGAGTAGACTATAGACTAGACTATAGACTAGACTATAGACTAGGACTATAGACTAGACTATAGACTAGACTATAGACTAGACTATAGACTAGACTATAAACTAGACTATAGACTAGACTATAGACTAGACTATAGCCTAGACTATAGCCTAGACTATAGACTAGACTAGACTATAGACTAGGCTATTGACAAGACTGTAGACTGGACTATAGACTAGACTATCGACTAGACTATAGACTAGCCTGTATACTAGACTATAACTAGACTATAGACTCGACTGTAGACTAGAGTTCAATTCTAGTTCTGTTCTAGATCTGTTCTAGTTCTGTTCCAGCACTGTTCTAGTTCAGTTCTAGTACTCTCCTATTTCTATTCGTTCTAGCTCAGTTTCTAGTTCTATTCTTGTTCTGTCCTAGTTCTGTTTTAGTAAGTTCTAGTTCAGTTCTAGTTCTATTCTCGTTCATTTCTTGTTCAGTTCTGATCTAGTTATTTTCTAGTTCTAGTCCTGTTCTAGTTCTGTGCTATTTCTATTCTAGTTCTAGTTTCAATTCTAGTTCTATTTTAGTTCCATCCAAGTTCTGTTTTATTACAGTTCTAGTTCTTTTCTAACTCTATTCTAGTTCAGTTGCAGTTCTATTCTCGTTCATTTCTTGTTCAGTTATAGTCCTAGCTCTTTTTCAGGTTAGGTTTTAGTTTTGTTACTGTTCTGTACCAGTTCGGTTCTAGTTCTATTCTAGTTCTGTTCCAGCTTTGTTCTAGTTCAGTTCTAGTTTGTTTCTAGTTCTGTTCTAGTTCTGTTTTAGTTCTTTCTAGTGCTCTTCTAGTTGTTCTACTGATTGTATTTTAAATGGCATATGAGATTCGGTACAACCGAATATAGAATTCGTACTTGTTTATTTTACGGTTGATAACGCAGTTATTGGGTAATGCAGTGTGCAAAACGTCTTCTTTAAAAACGCATAATTTGTATTAAAAAAAAACATAAATTTTCCTCTTCAATTTCCAAAATTTTAAAACACACTTATAATTTCAAATAAATTTCTTTTTCATTAGGTTTTTTTATTTGCTTATAAAAATGCAAGTAAATTGTTTTACAATTTCTTTGTTTTTAAATGTTCATCAAATATTGACTTAAATTAAATATATAACTGTTATTATTTTATGTTATTTTTGTATAATTTATAGTTTTTGTTTTCTTTAAGTTTTAATATGTTTCTTTTGTTTCTATTTGTTAGACAATATACTAAATATAGTTTAATCTTTTTGTATTAAAATGTTTTATATATATTTAAACGTTTTGCTTTCATTTTTTTACATACAAAATAATAATCATTCAACATAATTTATTATAGTTTAGTTTAAGTTAAGAGAGAAAAAGATTAAATTAACAATAAACTTTGCAAAGAAAATACAAATAATTCGAAAATAATGTTTTTTTTTCCTGGATGCTGTTTTTTGTACACATACTAAATTGTTAAATAATATTTAAATTATAATATATAAAAAAATATTAATTTATGTAACAAAAAAAATGTAAAAAAAAGTTAAATGTTGTATAGAAAAAATGAATAAATTGTATATGTATTTTATAATTAAACAATACTTAAAACTAAAATTATTTATTTTCTTTTTTTGGGGGGAGGAATAGTTAAATTAAAAGAAAAATGATTTGTTTTAATAGAAGAACAAACAACAAATGAACAGACATTCATTAACTAGGGAAAGATAGAAGATTAAAAGAAATGTTTTTGCATAATTCCTGTTTTTTTGTTAACATTTAACAAACAAATGTGTGACCAAAATAAGTTGCTATCATTTACACCTGGCAGAAGAAGAAGATAGACTAGGTAGTTGGTAGTTGAGAGGAAGGAGTTGAAGTGTATTTCAAATTCTAATCAATAAAACGGAAATTATTTAAGGGTATATCTTCATCATCATCATCCATATCAATATCTATCCAGCCAACCATCATCATCGTCGTCGTCATTGTCATCAATCATCGTCGTCGTCATCGTCATCATCGTCGTCATCATCATCATCGTCATCATCATCGTCGTCGTCATCATCATCTTCTTGATTGCGGCGTCTTCTGCCATTACGCATTTGATCATCAGATCGTAACCAAATACTGCAAATGCAAATTAATTAGTATATTTTCCTTAAATAAAGTTTTAAGTTACCATTGCCTGAGGCATCACTGTCTGAATTGTCCTCGTCGGACTCACACTCCTCTTCATCTTCCTACAAGCAGAGACAATATATTTATTGCTATATCATCCAAATCAAACAAATCATCATAGAGATCATTATTAACATCGGCCTGTGCTGCGCCCGCGCCGCCATTGCCTGCATTACCAACGCCGCCGCCACCGCCTCCAACACCCTCAATAGGGTCGGGCGCTAGGGCGGCTCTTAGGTCAGCGTCACGATTGTTATTGTTGTTATTACTATTGTTAATGGTGCGGTTTTGTTGATGATGATGATGATTACGTGGCTGAGGCTGGGGTTGTATCTGTGACTGACGCTGTCTTTGACCCACCAAATGTGGCGGCACTATTTCGACATTATTGCCATGCCATCTTATAGCGAATTGATTAGCATTCCTAGCTTCTATAGCATTTGCGCCACCATTGCCCACAGCACCATTACCACCACCACCGCCGCCACCGTTACCGTTTCCAACGCCAACATCGTTAACGCCGCCAGCAGCCCTGGGGCGCGGCGCAGCATGACCACCGACGCCGCCATTGCCACTGGCAGCCGTCGTACCGAAAAGGCTAATACTAGCCCCTTCTCTACCAGTTGTCCTACCCATACCACCGTCACTTGCACCCGAATTCTCATATAAACGAGTCAAGTTCGGTAATTGGTTAGAACTACTGTTGTTAACAAGATTTTCAGTATTCATATCACACACCTCTTCGTCTTGTTCGGTTTTCTTCATGCCCACACAATATATCTTCACAAATGTTTCGGATTTCGTCTCGTATGAGGGTTGATCCTCCACCAAAGCTATTAGACTGCCATTACCATTGACACTCAAATCAAATAGGCTGCGTTTAACATCTATGGTCGATATCGAGGAATAATCGTAGGCATCTAGAACCTTAAAGCTGGTATCGTAATTGGTTGTATCATCGAAATCGTTGCGGTATTCCATTTCCAAACGTATGCCATATATAGTGTTGAGGGGAGAGAATTTCAAGAGACACTGATCCAACACCGGTACCGTTTGCAGCAAATGGAATGTGCGCAAATCCCATACCTCTGTATTGGAAATAATCTGGAAATGACAAAACATTTTTTTTAGATTTATATTTTTTAGTTCATAGTTTTGTTCTTACCTCTAAACCATTTGGATGGAAGACACCTGATAAGGATTGATTTAATTTATCAAATTTATGTATTTCTTTGCCAGATCTCACATCCCAAAGAACACCATCTATTAAAGAAACACTTTAATTTCTCTATAAAGAAAGTTTAAAATGGAAAAAACAAACCTGATAATACCAATTCATCGGTGGGACAGATAGCACGATTTTTAACTATATTGATTACCCAATGTAGGTGTAAATGTTGATATCAGTTGACCCTTGGCTATATCATAAATAGTACAACACTGTAAACAAATTCAATAGAATAAAAATCTTTTGTTTGTAACTAAGTAAGGAGAAAACTTACATCATTTTGTGTGCCTATGATTTTGTCCTGTGACAATTTACTAAATTCACAATAAAACTCATCATTAAATTGTATTTTCGACACAA